AATTGTTAGTTCCTCGTACATTAGCTTGGTGCTTTTGACAGCTTCCATATTTGCTCACATTTAGATCTTCCACATAAATTAAAAGTGCAAATAAAGATTCTGTTGCACTTCAACGGTGATTCACACAAAGAAGTCTATCTAGTACTTCTACATCCTTTATGTTTTTAACAAAACTCGCCAATTCGCTTTGTATGATAATTTTGTTGTAACATAGTGAGAATCAAAAGTCACTGAACGAAGTCCGCAAATCAGGAATGATTGAGAACAAAAAGCGATATGAGTCTCAACCATGGCACCCTAATGCTAAGGTTGAATTGACAGCGTAGCGACGAGAATGGTCAAATAGTTGGCGATGATTCACCCTCAGAGGCCAAGATGTAAGTCTCAATAATCTTCACGAATTAGGAAAGATTCCGGGGAAAGTAATCCGTTTATTTCTATTTTTGTGACTACCAACGTCTGGGGCGAATTTTCGTCTCAACGCTAAAATCCTCACTTTGGACAACAGACATAAGGGGATGAATTTCAGTGTAATGGAAAAAGTGATTTACGTCCACACTTTGTCGACAGTTAACTCCTCTGTCACATCTAGATACAAGAAAAACACTTCATCTTGATAGACATGATACAATTCACATGATTAACACCTCACAATTGGATTCCTAAAAATGACACCAAGTGTGCTGGGTTGGATGTATTGATGATAGTATGTATTGGAATTTGTCATACAATCAAAATACACAGATGTCACAGATTATTATATAGAGAAAAAGAAACAAGTGAGAGACGGTGGCTAAACGGCGAACACAGAAGTATGATTATTGGTCACCCGCATAGTCATCAAGGAAAAGCAAAAACGGAGCAATTGTAGTAGTAGCACAGAAAGAAGCTGACGATGAAGAAAGCTCTCAGTAAGAACCGAATAAAGGATTACTTCATACTTCAGTTTAGAACCTGCCGGCCGCACTGTGTCTGGCAATGTATTACGAGAATAAGTGTAGAAGGATTACCAGAGTGAGTCCGGTTCAATCTTTACAGTTGGACAGAACTGATGAACAATGCAGACATAATGTCTATCCATTTGTTCTAATGAACGAAAAGCATAGAATACACACCAAATAGCACATGTTTCACTATAATGTCTATGATAGAAAAAGATGTATGGTTTACCTAAGAATTCAGAGGATAAAGACAAAATCTGAGGACAACACCACCTATTACTTCACTGGAGCTCCATCAAGAGCGGTATTAGCCGCCCGATTCTGCATTGATGTTTGAGCCCTGCAACAATTCGCTCTATACAAGAAAAGCTGGAAAATCTGCAATGAGATGCATGATCATGAAAGTTCATGCTTTGAAAAACGTCAAATAAGTTTCGGTACATGTACGGATTTATCTTCGATTTCAAAACGAAGAAAAGAATGAACATACGATCGCAATACTGGATAAGACTTCTTCACTCCGCCCTTCCCATAGGAGGTGCTGCCGATTGTTGAAGGCGCTTCGCCGTTCTGAATTAACATTACTTGATTGAGAAGATGACGATGACAAAATTGCAACAACACGAGTTTTACAATATATATGAACGAGAAACGATGTTTCAGTACTGGAAAATGTAGTCTGACATCGTTTCCCGTTCTGCAAACTCTGGTCACAGATTCTTACGACAAACTTCAGCAGATTCCAATCAAAGAGGTAGTCGTAGCGGAGACCCTGTCGATGAAAGAGGTTTCGAAAAAGCTGGCGAAGATGTCCATAATCGGGAGTGTCTTCAAATCCCAATGTGCGGCTGTATCGCAAGTAGGTTGCAAATGCTTCTGAAAAGCAGTCATTTTAGAACTTCTGTTGGTATACATGAGACAAACAATACACATCGCCTTCGAGAGAGATGATCAAGATAGCAGGTCAAGTACATTGGCCATTTTGACTCAGGATCGATGATAAAATGATTAAAAAATGCAAAAAAGATAAATTAAGCCTACTTAATTTGTTAACTCAACGCACAGGCAAGAAAACTATTGAGACCAGTGACTGAGATCCATAATGAAGTGATGTGCCTGATTATTATTATTCGTTGAACGTCGTTTCTATGGAGACTTGTTGGGGGATGAAAGTTACTTTTTCAGATCTATTACATGATTCAATCACTGTTTCTACATGATTGACATCCGTCCAGATACATAGCAGGCGTTTTCTTGTGTGGGATGTCTTCTCAATTTTGTAACATATCTGATAAAGTCACTTACAGTACGGTACCAAATCTTAACCTGGCATCATTCCCCGAAATTTTTGTGGGTTAGCTGAGTTAACAATAACAATGATTTATACCGAAAAAAAAAACGATATATGACAAGAAAATGGTTCAATTACGCGAGTTTGGGGTACTTTCTCCCAGCGTAAGGCATGGTCGTCCTCACCCCAAATTTGAACTGAAGCAGGCCTGTCGCGGCAGAGCGTGGCATCTGACCCCCACCCCCGTATAATTTTGCGTATATCCTAATCGTTTTTATTGGTTACTTGCTAGTCTGTATACTATAAGTATGTTTGTAGATGGTGACAATTTTGTAGTCGTCGGAAGTTGTTTCGTGTTGCGAAGTTCGTTTCTTCAACTCTGATTGCAGGTAAGCCTGGAGAAACGATAAATGGTGAACTTATGCTGTAAAACCTTTCTTAGTAAGTAACATATGCAGAATTTTGCTCCAGTGAATTATATTCTCCAAATTTGCCATCTGTATCGTTTCCAAAAGCTCACTTGAAGGCAGTGGCTCGGCAAATCTCAACCTAGTCAAATTTCCGCTTACCTGGGGTTATTCAATACGCTGATTCCGAAAATCCACTTTTGAGAGCTTGAAAATGCCGAAAAGAGCGTTTTTCAATGCCCTTCCCTTTGGAATTGGACGAGTGCTGCAAGGCTGATGACGCCGAATCGTTGCAGGACCCAATGGTTATAGCATTGCGGCGGGCAGCCTTCAATGGTTAGAAGAAAGTTGCCACTCGTCCGGATGCGTGTAAGAATGGCCTGCGCGTGTAAGTTTGAGAGCAATTTTCTCGGCAAGGAAGGCATGCTGTGCAACCGGAATTGCAATGTTTTCATACTTGGGCAATAAGGAGTCTACCGCGTTAAAATTTTGAGTTGTTGAGTTTTGCCAACCCACTGCCTTTAAACAAAATACGAGCATAGCGGCAGGAGACAACGCTCAGCAATTACAGAAACTCAATATAAAATACTGTGAAACAATACCAAAAACTTATGAGCAATGGCGAAGAAGAACGCAAAGTGAATGCGTGAGTTTGAACGGAGAGCTAGGGTGCCGTGCTCTGCCGCGACCTGGCTGCTAAAGTTCGAATTCGATTTCCACCAACCGACTAGTGGGGTGAGGACGACTTTACCCACGGGCTGTGCGGTCCTTCACAAAGGACCGTGCGGTCCCAATGATTTTGGATAATCTCGCGAAAGTTTGCGAGAATGCGGCCATTGCGCCGCAACTAAACTGTGAAGAAGCCGCAACTGTGTTGTAGAGCCGTACTTTATATTGGAACTTGCTCGCTTACTATAGGCTAGGTCGACATGGTCTCTGTGGTTGCGGCGCACCCGCCGCGCCTTGATATACTTGCGTGGTGTTATGGAAATATTTCTAGTGAACCCTCGGCATGTACGCCGATAGGCAGAAAGGGAACTCTTGTGTTTTTCTAATAAATCGTCAACGGCTCAACGCGTTCTACATCAACTGGCGATCAGGATCAAGGACAAGAAGAACTCCACCACCAACCGAGGATGAGAAGAAGCTCCATCGCCGACCAAGGAAAAGAAGAAGCCTTCAGTCGATTTCAAGGACAACTTCTCCAGATAAGTTCCATTTAACAGCTGGTATCGATCGACGAGAGGGAAGAAATCTCGTCGTTGCAGCGGAGCCATGCCGAAGGTTGCAGAAGAGCGGCATGCGGCGGATCTGGAGAAGGTCCTCAACGTGATGATGGAGCAGATGCGGCTTCAATAAGAAGAAATTCGGATACAGATGCAAGCCCAACAGAAACAAATGAGGACGCTGATCACCACCCTGGTCAATAATCAGGGAGCTCCAAGATGCCAGCAAGGATCAATACGATCAGCTGAGCAAGGATGTGCAAAGGTTTGTCTCCGATGAAGACACAGGTAATACCTTTGCCTACTGGTGCAGCAGGTATGGACCGGTCATAAGCGAGTCCTTGTTGCCAGACAACAAGAAGCGTGACCTGGTCGTCATGAAGTTGGACGAGGAAGCATACCGGAAGCATGCAAATGAAGTCCTACCTGCGAAACCACACGACTTGGACTTCGACACCACCATCGCGAATCTTCAGAAGATATTCGCCTCTAAGAAGACCCTCATCAGGAGAAGGTACAAGTGTCTAAGGTCAAGTGTCTAACCTGCCCTCCGCTTGCGTCAGCGTACGTACCTTTTCGCGAGTACGCTAACACTATCAAGCGGATGGACGAAGAGTTCGACTCAAGGAGCTGGATTACACGGCGATGAAGACGCTGCAATTTGTAGCAGGTCTTCAAGATCCCTCACTCAGGGAAGTTCGCCTTCGGATGATTCGTCGACTGAACGTTCACAAGGACGAGGCACCGTTAACAATCGACCTAGTCACAGATTGCGAGAATTTCCCTGTTTTGAAAGTGGATAACACGGACATGGAAGGCACTCGCGACGTCCATGCTGTATGGAAGAAAAAGGTGAATTGCTTCATATGCAGAGGACCACATTTCAGAAGAGACTGTCCACAATCTGACTGTAGTCGGAAGAAGCGGCGGAAGAAAGGAGCCCATGTGGGCCGCAGGCGACAGTGCAAAAATGTGGTAGCTTTTGACGCCGAGAAGGCGCGGACTTATGTCGACGTCGTAATCAGAGGATGTTCACTCAAGCTACAGCTGGACACAGGTGCGGATATAACCCTGATTTTGCGAAGAGCCTGGAAGAGGATGGGATCCCCTGCTTTGGACCCTGTGTGTTGCCCGTGAAAACTGCCGACGGGACGCCGATGCAGATCGACGGTAAATTTTCGACCGATTTTGAGGTCAAAGATCGAGTTACAGGGAAAACCGCTTATGGAAACGGAATATGCTACGTCACCGAAACCTCGAATCTACTGGGATTGGAATGGTGCATCCAATTGCCAGCCTACAAGAAACTGAAGACCAAGTACAATGCAGGAAGGTGACTAGCGAAGAAGCAATTCGAGCCGAAGTTGTTGCCGACTTGAAGAACAAGTATCCAGATGTCTTCAGCAGCGAACTAGGGAAATGTAAGAAGAGCAAAGCTAGGTTAGTCTTAAAGAAAGATGCTGTCCAGGTCTCAAGAAGAAGAGACCAGTTCCATACGCCACAGCACCGGAACTGGAGGCAGAAATTGATCGGCTAGTAGCCGAAGGAGTTATTTCTGCTGTAGAACACTCAGAGTGGGCCGCTCCAATAGTCGCAGTCAAGAAGAAGAATGGCAGGATCTGTAGCAAAGGGATGGCTAGTGGTGAGGCTGCTTTAGTGTTGCCACGCGGGTCTGTATGGTACCTCAGACTTGAGTTACGAAGCTTTATTGTGATACAATCAAGAACAATAAATATGCAGATGTGTGAAGTGTCTCCAGAGACGTGTCAATCATCGGACTACTTCCCAGGATACTTGTGATCCTTCAGAGACTTCTTGGTGCACAGGAGACTTGATGCTTCTGGCCCAGAGTACTTGTTGGATCTAATGTTATCCGGAGAAAACTTGTGGAGGAAGATTGCCTATCGGAGACTAGTCGTCCTCACAGCGAACTACTTGTAGAGAATCCTCTTGGTGAGCCGGAGACTTGTCGTCCTCCCAGCAAGCACTTGTGGAGAGAATATCCTCGACCTCACTCATCCATTAGTATTTATACCCTTGGACTTGTTTACTTGCGAAGTCATTGTTGACTGAAGAGGGCACTGATAAGGTGATGGAAGTGAGGTTGCAATGACTTGTCCGGCGGATCCTCGCGGGACTCTTCTAACCACTACGATATAAGGCAAAACGAACACAAATGAACAATAATAAATATATACAGTATGTACAATCTACAGCATCGTTGGCGACACCGCTAAAACTTCTTATAGTCGACTTTGGCGACACTCCCGCCACGCCAGGCTTCCTCCTCTCCATTGCTTCCTTTGCTGTAATTGATTGCCTTCCGTGACCTCAAAGAGTACCGTTTGCATGGTTCTTCGGAGTCGTTTTCATTCGTCTTGTTCACAGTTCTGTCTTCTAACTCGAGAGGCACCAAAAGGTTTACTGGTCTTCGTATGTGTTTTCGAGATGGTAAGATTACGACTGCTTCTCTTTCTTGTCCGCCTTTACTCTTCAACAGCTCCGTAATGCGTCCCATCCTCCAGGAATGTCGTGGCTGTACGGGGTCTGTGATTAGAACGCAGTCGTTCTTTTGCGGGTGCGATATAGACTTGTTATGACCAACTTGTGATTTATGTTTTTCTCGAAGCGCACTAAGATATTGTGTCCTCCAAAGATTCCAAGACTTGTTGGTGGACTTGAATGAATTTTCTAGCGCTTGGATTGTTTGGGACTTTGTGCGAAGGACAACTCGCTCTTCGGATGAAAGATAAGGTGGATCCTCGTCGTGCAGATTGACTTTGTCAAATGGTAGTCCAGCATGATCTTGTTTTATACGTTTTTTGAAATTCATGGGTCTTATGATTGTCTCGTTAAACGAATCTGAACCCTTGCAAAGAAGTGGCCTTGTGTTGAGTAAAGATTCGATCTCGACGAGCGTAGTTGACTGAGCTATTGCTTTGTTGTCCGGCAAGTCTGTGACGTGTGCTTTCCAAGGTAGTTGGACTTGGTACCCATCTTCGCGTTTTTCAACTGCTTCTTTGAAGTGCAGTAGGACAAGCTTGTCTGTCCGTGCTTGTTCAGCATTCTCATGTCTAAATCCTTCTGTACTAGCTGCATCCAAGGTCCAAAACTTCTCCCATCTGTCTTGTTCGTATTCGCTATAATCTTCTGCAGTTGATGCCGCGTTTACTTGGGTATCCAGGGACCAGTATCCATCCCACTTCTCTTCTTCTTTGAGGTGATCAAGGCTTGCTGACGGCGACTTGGGCTGCTTGAGCTGCCCTGTAATCAGGTAACCCAACCGTGTTTCGATAAAGTGCAGACCAGAGGGCAAGCGAAGCTGTGGCCTGTTTCCGTTGATGAATGCCCATAACTTGTCACAACCTAATAATATCTGCGGTTTTGTCATCTTTTTATTTCCGAACCTATCGAGCGGTATATGGTTTTCGCAAAGGTGCTTGATGTCTTCACTGGATAGCGAGGGAGTTTCGAAGCATTTAGATATTATGTCATATGTGTGAAGATCAATCGTGACCTGTTCTCCTTCCACGTCCCAAGCCTTTAGTTGTACCACTTGACTGACTTTCTCTTGTGCTTGTTCGGAACCAAAGGTACGTATTCTCAAATTTTCTTTTCGGATTATCGGAAGGTGCAAGTCGTCGGCGAGAGCCTTGTCTATAAAGGAAATCTCGGCGCCAGTATCGAAAAGTACGCAAACTTTCTTCAGTGTGTTGCGTTCTGGATCTAATACCGTTATTTCGCCTATAGGCAAAAATGTTGTCTGACTGACATCGTTACCTTCCTGCTTTGACCGTGATTCGTATACGACTGCATCATTGCTGTCTTCTACTTCGCGTGTCAGATGATTCACCTTCTTGGTAAACTTTGACTGCGTCTTAGCCTGTCGTGGTATGCCTCTGTTGTTGCTCTGTTCCTGGTTTTCTGCTGCTTCTGCTGCTTCGGCTTTGACTAATGATGGGTTTTCGAGATGTGGTCTTGTGAAGCAGCAAGACGTGTGGTGCAAGCCTTGACAATTGAAGCATTTTCGTTTCTTGCATTGAACGGTCGTATGCTGTGGCGATGCGCATATTAGGCACAGGTGGTGCTCGCGCAAGTACTGTGATCGTGCTTTTGGTGAGGAGTATTTTGTACACAGGATGGACTTGTGGTTTTCTCCGCAGTACATACATGCTCGGACATACTCCTGTTTAAAATCCTGCACTTCTAAAGGGCTGACTTGTGCTTGCCGGGTATCCATTATATGTAAAAATACCATTTCTTCGCATGCCAATACTTCATCAATGAGTTTTAGAAGCTCCTGCATTAGAAATGGTACTTGTTGATCTAGTGCTTGCTTTTTCGTCAAAACACTGCGTTGGATGTGGATAGGGAATTTTGACAACACTTGTTTCTGCATCCACTGATTGTCAACATTTTCTCCCTTACGTTCCAATTGTGACACAATTGCTTGTAGTTGTTCGAACAGCGATCTTTGGTCTTTTAGTGAGGACGATCGAGCGAAGCATTGCTCAAATCGTTCGATTAGGCGGTGTATAAGCTCATTCCGATTTCCGTACTTTTGCGTGAGGAAGTCAACTGCCTTCATGTAGTTTCCACTTGTGACTTGAAACCTTTTGACTGATTCGCGTGCTTCTCCCTCTAAAGCATTGAGAAGATAGTTGAACTTGTAGAGTTCCGGCAGATCTTGTGAATGAACGTTGCTGTTGAAGAGTTCCCAGAAGTTATCCCATTCCCATATATCTCCACCAAATGACGGAATGGGTAAAGTGGGAAGTTCCATTTTCTTTGCTTGAATACTTGTGCAGGCATGTGCATTGATACTTGTCATGTCGTTGCCTGCTTTCAAGACACGGCTTCGGGCTTGTAGCGTGAGCCCATAATCGAAAGCATTTGAGAGTGAAGATTCTGCCTTGGAAATGTATTCTTCAAAGTCTTCTAACTCCTTCGCTTCCGGCTGATTCAGGGTGGAGTACAATGATGCGTACTCCTGGACTGTGTGCTCCACTTTAGAAGTGGCAGCTTCAAGAGTGCCGATGGCTTCTTCAAGTCTTTGGTTATAGCCAGAGGTATTGAGTTCATGTATCTCTTCCTCTTTGAATTGCGATATGACTTTGTCCAGCTTGTTGCAGTACTGGGTAAGCATTCGCTTAGAAACTATAAGCTTCGCAGACATTTTGAATGCAAAACTTGTGATGCGACTTGTAGAAGAAGTCAAGCTGAGGTACTTGTGCGTTTGTATGTCTATGCTTCAACTCCTTGCGATCGAAGTTCAGCGTTTCAATTTGGCCGATGCACCATGTAGCAAAGGGATGGCTAGTGGTGAGGCTGCTTTAGTGTTGCCACGCGGGTCTGTATGGTACCTCAGACTTGAGTTACGAAGCTTTATTGTGATACAATCAAGAACAATAAATATGCAGATGTGTGAAGTGTCTCCAGAGACGTGTCAATCTTCGGACTACTTCCCAGGATACTTGTGATCCTTCAGAGACTTCTTGGTGCACAGGAGACTTGATGCTTCTGGCCCAGAGTACTTGTTGGATCTAATGTTATCCGGAGAAAACTTGTGGAGGAAGATTGCCTATCGGAGACTAATCGTCCTCACAGCGAACTACTTGTAGAGAATCCTCTTGGTGAGCCGGAGACTTGTCGTCCTCCCAGCAAGCACTTGTGGAGAGAATATCCTCGACCTCACTCATCCATTAGTATTTATACCCTTGGACTTGTTTACTTGCGAAGTCATTGTTGACTGAAGAGGGCACTGATAAGGTGATGGAAGTGAGGTTGCAATGACTTGTCCGGCGGATCCTCGCGGGACTCTTCTAACCACTACGATATAAGGCAAAACGAACACAAATGAACAATAATAAATATATACAGTATGTACAATCTACAGCATCGTTGGCGACACCGCTAAAACTTCTTATAGTCGACTTTGGCGACAGGATCCGTCTATGCGCCGACTTCTCGACGGGACTCGACGATGCATTGCAGCTGCATCAGCACCCATTGCCCACAGCGGAGGATGTGTTCACCAGGCTTAATGGAGGCCAGCTCTTCACTCAGCTCGATTTGGCCGAGGCATATCTACAAGTGGAAGTTGAGGAAGCATCGAAGGAGATGCTAACTATTAACACACACAAGGGATTGTATCGCTACAATCGATTGCCATTCGGAGTGAAATCAGCCCCAGGTATATTCCAGCAGATTATGGATTCTATGATAAGCGGACTTGATGGCGTTGCCGCTTATCTTGATGATATCATCATCACGGGAAGGGGCTTTGAGGAGCACCAACAAAACCTTGGAAGCCTTTTTCAAGCGAATCAAGGACTGCGGATTCCACGTCAGGTTGGAAAAATGCAACTTTCTGATGCCAGAGATCTGTTACTTAGGTTGCATCATCGACAAAAACGGACGCCGGCCGGAATCAAAGAAGATCGAGGTCATTTAACAAATGCCACTCCGAAGAACATAGCGGATGTTCGATCATTCCTCGGGATGACCAACTACTATGGAGTTTTCGTAGCAGAGATGCGCCGACTTCGTGCACCCTTGGACGCATTGCTCAAAAAGGACGCGAAGTTTGAATGGACAGAAGAATCTCAAAACGCATTTAAGCGTGCCAAGGAAGTTTTAGGCTCGGATCTACCCCTCACACATTTCGATCCAAAACTGCAGATAGTGGTAGCTGCCGACGCATCGGATTACGGGATCGCAGCTGTAATTCTGCACAAGATATCAGATGGAACAGAGAAGGCTATTTGCCATGCCAGCCGAAGCCTCACAGCAGCAAAAAGGAACTACGGACAAATCGAAAAAGAAGGACTGGCACTGGTGTTCGCCGTTCGTAAGTTCCATCGGTACATATATGGACGACGGTTCAGATTGCTCACCGATCACAAGCCGCTGCTACTCATTTTTGGACCCAAGAAGATGGTGCCTGTGTACACAGCGAACAGGTTGCAACGATGGAAACTCATTCTACTCGAATACGACTTCGACCTGAATTACCGCAAGACGACCATTCGGACAAGCCGATGCATTGTCTCGACTGATCCCTCCAAGGCCATTCCAGACCCAAGACGTCGTCATAGCGAAAGTAGAAGAAGATGTGCAAGCCGTTCAGGCAGCCGCTATACGAGCGCTACCAGTAACCAGGTTCAAGATTGAAGAGGAGTCCCGTAAGGACGAAAACATCATGCAGGTTGTACAAATGCTGCAATCGGGAGCATGGCCGTCCAAGCCTAAAGAAGAAGTCCAAAATTGGAGAGCACTGACGGAGTATTTATCAGTGCAGAACGGATGTTTGTATTATGGCCACAGAATAGTCATTCCAGCCTTGCTAGGACAAGCGGTTCTGAAGCAGTTACACGAGGGACACCCTGGAATGACAAGGATGAAGATGCTCGCGAGAGGATCCGCATATTGGATGGGCATCAGCAGAGAAATTGAAGACTCAGTGCGCCACCATAGGGATTGTCAAGAAGCCTCCAATATGCCAGTGAAGACGTTACTGCACTCATGGAAAGTAGAAGACAAACCATAGAATCGACTTCACATTGACTACGCAGGGCCGCTGAATGGTAAGATGTATCTCGTCGTAGTTGACGCTTACTCGAAATGGCCAGAAGTATTTGAGATGCCTTCATCGTCAACTACAGCTACTCGAAGAAACTCAGATCTCTATTCGCACGATTTGGAAATCCGCGAGTGATCGGTCGGATAATGGGACGCAGTCCACAGCAAAGGAGTTCCAAGATTTCTGTGAAGAGCGAGGAATCAAGCATATGCGTTCGCCTCCATTCCATCTACAATCAAATGGACAAGCGG